CCATCCTCACTATTACACTATTTTTTGTCAGTTCTGTGTGTTGGTTCTTCAGCCTTTACCTCTCACTTCAAGCAGCTCAGGAAGGTGCCCTGGTATCATTGAAGACGTAGAAGGGAAAATATGGTCAACACCACAGTTGGAATGGATCACGTTGGAGAGGCTGGGACGGGCTGTGGCATTAGCAGATCCCGAGGTTGGTTTGTGTGGCAGATCCTCTCTATTTTCCTTTTACGGGAGTTCCTGTAACTGTGGTCAGAGGTTGTCTGGTAGACAGAGTGCAGAGATCATCTGGAGAAGATGAGATTCTTAGGGCTTTGAGATGAAGAAAAACCTTTTGACAGAGGCTATTTGGTGGCCATTGGGGTTTTGATGTGTGTCTTGGAGCCATTTGTAGTGTCTTTTGCTTGTGAGTCACTTAGGCTCTGCAGGGCTAAATGGAATCAGGGAGAGGCACAGAAGAGGGCAGAGGGCTGGCAATTTACTGCCAGGACTGTTTGATGATAACCAGCACTTGGGGTCTGGGAGGAAGGTGGCCTGGGCATTGAGAAACTCGTGATTAGGTGATTTCAAGCTTGCCCATAACACAAAACTTTTCCATGTTCTAAAATCTGATTAGCCTCAGGAGGGAAAGGTGAAAGTTTCTCTGGCTTTCCCTTGACTGCATCCCTGGAGTTTCTCTGAACTTGACAAATTTAGTTCCTCGGTGAATAACTCTCCTTGAGGACAGAGAGGAGAAGGGAAGAAGGAGGGAGAGAGATAGAGGGAGACAATTGGACTCCCACAGCACTCTTATTACAGGAATTTTTCCTAATTGCTGGTGTGAAGAGTTTCCTCTTTCACTGAGGGTGAAGACAGCAGCAGCTTGCTCTGCCCAGCACTAGTCAGGCAGGAGGCAGCCTGGGCTGATCCCTGGAGAGCCATAGAACTTTCCAGTCCAGTCCCCTTCTCTGGAGGCAAGTGTCTGCCCTGGGTTCCCCTCTGTGAAGGAGAGAGTAGGAGAGGATCAGGCTGGGAAGTTCTGGGCTTTGCTGCTGTCTAGAACAAGAACACCTAGAGTGTGAAGAGTGGACTAAGGGAGGTGCATAATGGATGAGCTCTACATCAAATCCTTCCTCCACAGCAGAGAGCATAGATGAGAACTAATAAGAAGAAAATACAGCCTATCGAGAGGATAGAGTGTGAAGAAATTCATATGTTGTTTTAGAGAAGATGATTGGGGAAGGGCCCATGGATTGGAGACATTTGAGCAATGACCTGCATGTGGTTAAGGAAGGTGTCCAGACATCCTAAGGAGATCAATGTGATCCATTTTGTTGTTTTCTGACACTTTTCCTTACTTGTAGGACTCTGGAGAAATTGGGAGGACACAGATAAGTAGTTATTCTCTGCAGACTTTTCCAAGCTGCTCTAGGGGCTCATACCACGGCCAGTTGGAAATAGAGACACACTTCCCATTTGGAGGTCTTGTCCCCTTGCTGGAATTAGAGATGTGAGACCTGGGGAAGGCAGAGGGTGTTGCCTCTAAACCATGGCTGTTTTCTTGTCTCCTGATCCTAGAGTGGAGATCATGCAGGACAGAAGGGAGTTGGGGAGGAAAGTCCCAGCTTCTTCTTCACTCCTTCCAGACCCTGCCTCCATGCTGTCATCTGGTGACAAAAGGAATCAAAATCAGAGCTAGAGGTCACCAAGTGGGAGCTGGTGAGGCTCTTCCTGCTTGAAGGAGACACATTCACTGAAATGAGAGGTTGAGGTTGGCTTTCATCATAAGAATAAGCAGAAAGAAGTAGGTAATCCACTCTAGGGAGCCAGTTCCCCAGAAGTCGGGGAAAGATTCAATACTTTGTCTAAAATAGTTCTTATCTTATGACAATGTCCTGCAGAGCCCTCCTCCCTGTCAGCCAGCCCTACCAACAGGCAGAAACGGTGATAAAGAGAACTGATGTGAAAACTTTAGAGGGAACATAAGGCAAATGAAGCCTACATTCAGGGGAAATAAAGGAAAGAAGCAACCGTATCTGGGAGGGATTGGCTAGGAATACTTTCTTGTAACAGTTGTGTTCAGTAGTTTTTGGAGGACACAGACATAACAGGCACAGAAAACCATTTAAGGCATTCAGGATGGAAGGAATGGTGGTATAAACGAGCCCATTGTGGTCAAGGAAGTAGACAGGATGGGAGATCAGAGCAGAGTAGGAGGCAGGATGTCCAGTGAATTGAGAGACAAGGGTGCATCCTGGAGTGGGTGGGTTTTCATGTCTAGGATGTGGTATTGGTTACTATTTCTTATCTTCTTAGACATATGCATTTATCTTCATATATTATATATTTTCTTCATAAAACAGCTTTGTACAGACAATAGAGGAAGATGAACCCAATTGGTCCTGATGTGGAGCCTAAGAGCAGAGGGGATATTTCCTCAACCTGGAAATATCTTTAGTTCTTTGAAATTAGAAATATGTTTTCTCTCCTTTGCTCTCTAGATTTCACAAAGAGCAAGAGCACAGGACTAAATGTTGAAGATCTACTCTAGTGCCATTGAATTTTATCTCCTTGGCTTCCATGGCTCCAAAGAACTACACACTATTTTTTTAGCCACCTTCTTCTTCCTCTACTCAGTGACATTTATTGGAAACACGGTCATCATCATAATGGTCTGTGTTGATAAACGTCTGCAGTCCCCCATGCATTTCTTCCTTGGTTACCTCTCTGTCCTGAAGATCCTGATCACATCTGTTGCTGTCCCCTTGATGCTCTGGGGGTTGCTGCTCCCTGGGAAGCAGGCAATATCTTTGACTGCATGCGCTGCACAACTTTATTGGTACCTTTCATTGGGTACATCAGAGTTGGTATTACTGGGAGCAATGGCTGTGGACCCTTACGTGGCTGTCTGTAAGCCTCTGAGGTACAATATTATTATGAGCAGCCACACCTGCATCTGGGTGGTAATTGTGTCATGGATGTTTGGGTTTCTGTTTCAAGTCTGGTCAGTCTATGGCACATTTCAGCCTACTTTCTGCAAATCAAATGTGTTAGACCGTTTTTACTGTGACCAAGGGCAACTGCTCAAACTATCCTGTGATGACAGCCATTTCACAGTTTGTTCTTTTTTTTAATGGCTCTTTTCATTATTGTTGGTTCTTTGATCCCTACAATTGTCTCCTATACCTACATCATCTCCAGCATCCTCAAGATCCCCTCAACCTCTGGCCGGAGGAAAGCCTTCTCTACGTGTGTCCCATTTCACCTTTGTCGTGCTTGGCTATGCCAGCTGCCTGTTCCTCTACATGAAACCCAAGTGAAACCCAAGCAAATGCAGGCAGCTGAGTACAATAGGGTGGCGTCATTGATGGTTTCAGGGATGACCTCTTTTATGAATCCTTTTATCTTCACCCTCCGGAATGACAAATTCATAGAGGCCTTTCTAGATGTCATGAAACGCTGCTGTCTACTCCTCGGGGATTAGGAGTTGCTGTCCAAGGACAGTCACAGAGTCATCATCATGGACCTGGGTAATCTGAAAGCACTCATTCAAATCTGAAATGATCATTTTCATCATCAAATAGTTTATGATCTGACAGTGCTCCATTTTGTAACTGGATGGTTCCTACACGGGAGTTCACTTTATTAACTTTTAAGTGCAATGCATATGTTTATACACATTTCTGAAGTTATAATACGTCTTACAATATAATTTGACAAGTGTAAATATATAAAATATGTGAGATTTTTAGAACACTCAGGTGTTTGAATGGGAAAAGCAAGGAAAAGTGGAATTCATTCTCTGACAGCTGACCTAAATGTTTGATTCTGGGTACTGGGGTCATCTTCCTCTATATTTTCCTGTGATTTCAGGATTTTCTCTTTGCCTAAAGCTCCCCACATTTCCTTCCTAAATGATCTCAAGACCAACCTCAGGCTTCAACCTTTTCTTGAGGTTCCTGCCCCAAGGTCCAATAGTGACAGTACCTCTCTGTAGATTTTCTTGACTGGCAGTTTTGAGCATGAACTCACTCCACAACCCTGACTCCTTACCACTTAGTACCCAATGTGTGTTAATATAGATGTGTCTCTAATTTATGGACTTTCTCAGGGTGTGGAGGGAGGGTCATGGAAAGAGGCTTTTTCTTATCTGGCATCACTCACGTCATTGCACCAGCCCCAAATGTGGGAGGGCAATGGGGCTGTGTTCTGGGAGCTGAAGTTACAAGGGTGAGCTGACCTTGCTGTGTCCCTGAGCTGCAGCAGGAGTGCAGAGGGGGCAGCAAAAGAGACAGCCCCTGGTCACTTCTCCCTGCATTTTTCCCATTGTTCAATCCTAACGTGTCCATTCCATCTCCCTTCTCTCTTAGCTACATTTGTATATTCGCTTTCCCTCTCCCTTTCCTCACAAGGACCAAGTGTACCAAGCTGTCTTCCAGCTCTACCCTGAGCTCCCAATCCACATGTCTTAGTTCCAATATTGTCCCGTCTCAGCCCCCGTTCCTGTCACACCACTAATGTCAGTTAATATTTCTGCCATTCTTATGCGGTCAAGCAGGGGTCAAAAGACTGAGCGCAAAAACTGCCTTCCCAACATTATTAATGTATGACACGATCTCACTGATGAGAATGGGGAAGAAGGGAGCTGACCTACATAACTTTGAAAAAAAGTGTTTTGACTGGCATCTGTAAGGCTAAGTTAAGTAAAGGAACCATGCACAATCATAGTACTCTTGATAGTAAAGTTGTTTGTCACTGAGTGTATAAATTAACAATTCTGAACTTGCTGTACATGTATACTACAGTTGAACAAATCAATAAAGGATGGCAAATGGTAAGATACAGGTCTCTCACTGTGGATAGGTAAGTTACAGATAAGCAAGGAGAGAAGGCTAGAATAAGGCATATGGTCCCAGATTAGAACTGGAGATATCAGTATGCACTCATATTTAGATGAATATATCTGTACAGGTGGATAGATTAATATGTGGTATAAATAAATGATATAAAAATGACTCTTCTTTCTCACTACTGTTTTGGCTATTGTACTATGATTCTCTTTCCATATAAATTGTAAAATCAGTTTGTAGATATCTACAGAAAAGCTTGATGAGATATTGATTGGGACTGTGTTGAATCTATAGTTAAATTGTTAAAGTCCCAAGGTATCAGACTCTCTCAGTTTATGTATGATTGTAAATTTTCTGCCTGACCAAGGGGTTGAGTAGGAGTTCTTTGATTGTAGGAGGTCAATCCTTCATCTTTCCTCTCTCTCTCATACCTGTTGTCTATGACTCATTTCATATATAGGCATAGTTGTCTTACCTGTGTGATATTAAGCTGGCTCCTGAGTCTTCTATCAGCATACACCAGTGGCTTTACTTTCACATCTTGTATCTTTCTATTGCTATGATACCATTGTACAAAACTGTCTAGTAGGCTTTACAGGTCTTAAGAAGTCAGATATGTATCTTTATCAGGTCATTCTAGTATATTAGAGTCCTCATCCTGCAGCACTTCCCCAATCCAAAGAGCCAGTATTGTTTTTGAACACTATTCCTGGTGTCATCTGTCCCACTCAGGTGCACCACCAGTGGTTAGCAACTGTGAGCTGCTTAGCATAAACTCTGAATCAGAGGAGCCACCTCAACCTGGGAGGATTTTCCCATTCACATGGAGTACTTGAACAGTTATATTTACACCCAAATATTTATATAATTTACTATTAATAACTCTTGAGAATCCAAAATAAAAGAAAATAGCAGCATTATTCGCAACAATAACGGCATTATTCACAATATTCAAAAAGTGGAAATAATCCAAAAGTCTATTGACAGATGAATGTATAAACACAAAGTGGTATATCCATACAATGAAATATTATTCAGACTTAAAAAACAATGAAATTCTGACACATTCTACAATGTGCATGAATCTTGAAAACATTGTGTTAAGTGAAATAAACCAGACACAATAGGACAAATACTGTGTGAGTTCACTTATCGGAGATCCCTAGAATAGCCAATTTTATAGAGACAGAAAGTAGAATAGTGAGTAGCAGGGGCTTGGGGAAGGGGATAATAGGAGTTATTAATTAATGGAGACAGAGTTTCAGCTGGGGATGATGAAACATTCTAGAGATGGGTGGTGGTGATGGTTGTGCAACAATGTGAATGCACTTAAATCCACTGAATTGTACACTTAAAAATGGTTAAAAATAGTAAATTTTATATTATGCATTTTCTATCATAATAAAAAAGAAAGAAATATCAAACAATTCTAAATGATTTTGTATAGGGAACCATCAGACTGTTGCCTTTTCCCTTCTGATCTGCAGTATTCCTCTTCAGAGGCAGCCATGTCCAACTATTTCTACTGGTATATATTTATAAACAATATCCTTATGCGATATTTCTTGATTTATCAATTTGTTTCTCCTTTAGTTAATAATTGCCTTATTTAATAATTTTGCTTGAGTATTCATCCTATTTTTTTCTCCTCATATGCCCCTACAGATATCCTAAACCTAATGATAAATTTTTTCCTTGTGCTTTGTGCTCTGTAGGCCTTCTTTCTTGGTTTGCTTCCAAGTTTTGATGGTGCAGCCTTTCCAGCATTCCTCTAAGAGAGAACTCATATGAGCTAAGTTTTCTGAGACTTGAATGTTTTTATTCCAGCATCATGCTTCATTGTCACTTTGGCCAGATAAAAATGCCTGCACACCAGCCACTGGGGGTGCCTTGCCTGCAGATCCTCCCAACTGCCCCATGGGCACCCTCAGCTCTCAGTGTGCCTCACCCACACAACTCCCACCCTGTGACTGGCTCCCTGTGTGTGTTCCCAATGGCAGTTTGAGTGAGCTATGGCAGAAGGCTAGTGAGCATGTGCAGAAAGTTGGCCTGAATCTGCAGTTCAGGGAGAGACCACAAACTTGAGCATTAGGTCCATCCTTGGGAAAGCAAAAGGAAGGATGTCAGTGCCTTTTGACAGTAGGTACCTAGTGCTTTGTGTAGTGTTTCCGTATCTGTGTTTTATATTTAAATCAAATGATTTGAGAGACTTCTGGTTTTGTTTGATATGTAAGGAGCTTGGAGAAGGAACATCTGCAAAAAGCCTACAGCTAATGTCATATTTAGTGATGATAAAGTAGATGCTTTCCTCCAAGATCAGAAACAAGGCAGGATGCCCTTCTCACCACTCCTATTGGACTGGAAGTCCTAGCTGATGCAATAAGACAAGAAAAGGAAACAAAAGATATACAGATTGAGAAGGAAGACACAAAATTGTTTTTGTTCACAGATGACATGATTGTATACGTAGAAAATGCCAAGGAATTGAGAAACTCCTGGAAGTGATAAGTGATTATAGCAAGGTCACGGGGTATAAGATTAACACACAAAAGTCAGTTGCTTTCCTATATACCAGCAGTGAAAAATTGGAATTAAAATTTTTTTATTTTATTATTTTCTTCCCCAAAGCCCCAGTAGATAGTTGTATGTCATAGCTGCACATCCTTCTAGTTGCTGTATGTGAGACGCAGCCTCAGCATGGCAGGAGAAGCAGTGTGTCGGTGCGCGCCCGGGATCCGAACCTGGGTCACCAGCAGCGGAGCTCGCACACTTAACCGCTAAGCCACGGGGCCAGCCCCTGGAATTTAAAATTAAAAACGCAACACCATTTACATTAACACCAAAAAAAATTTAAGTATCAACCTAACAAAATCAGTACAAGATATATTTCAGGTAAACTACAAAACTCTGATGAAAGAAATAAGAAAAGATTAAATAAATGGAGAAATATCCCCTGTTCATGGTTAGGAAAACTTAATATTATTAAGATGTTAATTCTTCTCAACTTCATCTATAGATTCAATACAATCACAACCAAAATCCCCATAATTTATTTTGTGATGTTGACAAACTGATACTACTGTTTAATAAATACAGAAAGGTGAAAGACCCAGAATAGTCAACAGAATCCTGAAGAAGAACCAAGTTGAAGTACTGACACTACCGAGCCTTTTTTTTTTTTTTTTTTGCTGAGGAAGACTGGTCCTGGGCTAACATCCGTGTCCATCTTCCTCCACTTTATATTTATATGGGACACTGCCACAGCATGGCTTTGCCAAGCACTGCGTCAGGGCACGCCCAGGATCTGAACCGGTGAACCCTGGGCCGCTACAGTGGAGCGCGCGCACTTAACCGCTTGCACCACTGGCCAGGCCCTGACGCTACCGAGTCTTGAGGTCTAGTATAAAACTATTGTTATCAAGTTATCAAGGCCTTAACCCTGTGTTTGGTTCATCCTGCAGTGCCAGTTCTACTCACCAAAAGTGGCCACTAGGTACTTGCATTCCACGCCCAGCTCCAGGCCAGTGGGCCTCCTACCCATTTAAAGTTTGAGAATAGATTGAGATCATTTTAGCCCCAAGACCTCTAATCACTCGTTTTACCAGATAAAACCGCATGGGTTCACATGCAAGAGTGCCAGCTATCCTGAGGCAAACTTTGGAGGAAACCAGCTACTAGATGGTTCAATTAGTCTTTCAACCTATACCCAGATCAGATGACCGATTTGCACATCAGGACCACTACAGACCTCCACCAGAATTTTCTCTGGCTTCACCCTGCCCGGCATAGTTCACCATCTTTCAGGTTCTAACACACGTGCTCGTGCTCCAGCTCCCCAGCGTGGTTAGAATATCACCCTTTAGCAACCCCGAATGAAATAATAGGTCTATACATCATGCTATCAACTGTTGCTAACATCACAGGGTTGACACTGAAATAGAAACATCCTGCCCAGAGGCTCTGGGGATAGGCCCAACATAATCTCATTTCAAGAGATTATAAATTGATGCAACTTTTTCTAGGGTGATTTGATAACAGCTAATAATTTAATACAATTAAAAAGATATACTTGCACAAACTATAAAGTAAATGTTTATTAAGAAATCACTTAAATGTGATTGATATATAATTACTAATATGGAAAGTTTTAGTACACACTAGCACACGTACACATATGTATAAAATATATATTTTGTATGTATATTAAGAAGAAGGTAGCAGGAAAGTATATTGACTAAAATATCATTTAATTAAAAAGAATATATAGAGATATTCAAGCATATACAGAGAAAACTTTTGTATGAATACACTAGCAATTTATATAATATTTAGCTCTGGGAGATAGATCGGGAGAATTAAGCAGATGGGGAGAGGGACATTTACATTTTACCTTATATCCTTCCATTTGAATTTCAAATCATGACCTATGCTAATTTTATGAAGAATGTCAGTTGTTCTTCAAAATATAAAAATAAATATTTTAAATATTATTTTGTTATTTTACTCAACATCTCAGCCATCCTCACTTTTATGTAGTATTTTCTTTTTGTCAATCCCGAATATTGATTCTTCAACCATTATTCCTCAATTCAAGCAGCTCAGGAAGGTGCCCTGGTAGCATTTGAAGATCTGGAAGGGAAATGTATGACTGACAGCCGCAGTTGGAAAGCATGCATGTTGGAGAGACTGGAATGGACTGTGGCATTAACAGACTGTGAGGTTGGAGTAGATGGCAGATCCTCTCTATTTCTCTCTTCCCAGGTTCCCATATCTATGGCCAGAGGGTATGTGGTAGAGGGAGTGTAGAGATCACCTGGGAGAGATGGGCTTCATGAAACCCTGGAGATGAAGAGAAGATTTTGACAGAAGTCTATGTGGTGGCCTCTAGGTTTTGATATGTGTCTTGAAGCCGTTAGTGTGGTCATCAGCCTGGGGGTAGCTTAGAGTCTATAGGGCTAAATGGAGTCAGCGAGAAGCACAGAGCAGATCAGGAGGCTGACTATTCACCACTTGGATTGTTGTGATAAGAAAGGGCCTGGGAGGGACGCAGCCTGGGTGCTGAGAAACTCCTGACTAGGAGCTTTCAAGTTCACACATTGCACAAAACTTTCCCATGTTCTAGAACTTGATTAGCCTCAGGAGGGAAGAGTGAAAGTTTCTTTAGCTTTTCCTTCACTACATCC